TCCCTAGGCGGGTGGGAAGCGCTGGGCTGGGTTCCCTGGGGAGCGGGGAGAATCTCCATCCCTAGAGATGTTTAAGTTCTGGCCTGACGAAGCCCTGGCTGGGCTGATTGATCTGGGGTTGGTCCTGCTTTGGGCGGGGGGCTGGACTCGATGCTTCCTTAGGTCTCTGCTCGCCCTGGGGTTCTAGGATCCTATGAGAGCTCACAGTGGCTTCTCCAACGGAAAATGATGAACAATTAATCTGTCTACTGTGCTAGAGCTTAGCTAGCATCCCCAACAAGCTTTCTACAGTGAACAATGAGCTCACAGGCTGTATTTGCAAGTCATGCCTGTCTGTCTGATTAGGAAGTAGAAAGGCTGATGGATACCTACCCAATAAAAACCCAAACCACTCAAGACTAAGAATTCCCCATGTCACTAGAATCAGATTCTACTTGAGGCTAAGGAATCTGTTCAAGAGTAGATGACTGTGACGTAGTGGGGGTACTTGCTGGGCTGTGGTGACCCCTGCTGTCTGGAGCAAGACCCAGCAGGGAAAACCTCACTATGCAAAGGTAGTGCCAAACTTGTTGAACCAGTGGCCAGACACCCCCCATGGAGAGGAACAAAGGAAGGTGGAATGCTGCCCTGACTGGGGGGCAGGGCTGGAAGGGAATTGAGTTAGTTGCTCGCTGGAAGGCAAGGTATAAGGAGCTGGGGAGGGGGCTGGGACTCCCCTATCTCAAGGGGGGGCACTGAGGCCTCTTAGCCCCAGTTCCTGTAACCAGATTACATCTGTGCTGCGCTGGGCTGGAGGAGCAATAAACCACCCTCAATTCCACTGGCTGGTGCAGTCTGTTTGTGCCATTTCGGGGTGCAGGAGACGGGGAACCCCCAACGCGCCGTCACAATGACCTACTAACATTAGGAGGCGGCCAAAGTCTCCCAGGACAACTCTCCAGGGCTGGCCGGGGTGCTCTGAGAACACCAGCTTCCCCGGCAAACAGCCTCAAACTCATTTTTGTTTTGGAAACCAGCTTGTTTCTCGCCAGTCCCCTGCAGTTCTCACCTCCAGCATGCAGCTGTCGCGAGGGTTCACTCTGGCAGTGTAATACACTCCCAGCGATTCCAGCTTCTCTCTCCCCTGCTGCAGGCTTAGCTCCCGGAACCACGGTGCGCCCCCACGCTGCGCCGATATCAATTCTATCAGGCTGTGGAAGGAGGACGGGTCCTGGGGCTTCTCCAGGACAATGAGAGCCTCCTGGCTACCTAGGTCTGAAAGAAAGCACAATTCAACTACAGGACACAACCCAACAATCTCATCCCGGAAGGGTGCGGAGTCCTTCCGATCACTCCCCTGCTTCCCGCTGCTTCTAGGAATCCCATATGTTTGAGGGTGGTCTCGGAATGTTTATATGCTTGATGTCACCTCTGCATGTCGATAGTCGCTGTTCCAGAAGCACAGCAACGCTAGGTCTATGGAGTAACCCACACTCACACAGCTACGGCTCCATACCCACAGCAGGAGAACGTCTGAGAAACACCTGCTGGCTCCGTTCATGATTATTACAGTGACAGGTGGAAAAAGCTAACACGGGCGTGTCTCCCACTTGGGACGGGGATACAGGGAACACCTGTCGTTGCAAGACACAGTATGACGCTGCATTGGTTCCGGCTCCGGATTAGCATGTACGGTGTGTTTGTCTGAGGGAAAATCTAGAACACAAACCCTTGTACAAACGAACCCCTTCCCTAGGTCACAGGTTTGTCTAGGCTGTCTACAAGGCACTGGCACCGGTCCCGAGGCTCTCTCACTTCCACTCACATGGGTTGGATGCCTGGGCTCCCACTCTGGAGTAAATGTCCTTGGCAAACTCAGGCGGGAGATGAAGGATCAAATAATAGAGGGGTAAGCAACATTCACAGAGATACACTCTGCTGAACGGAAGCGTCAGGCTGGTATCTTCAGAGGAAGAAAGGGGACAGTTAAAAGTGTGCACATATTTTTGCTCCTATGATACAAATTACACGCTCGGTGTTTCAGAATGTCTGAACCGAACATGGTGCGACAGCCAAAGGGTGATGCTGTCGCTGCTCGATCAGTTTGAAGTTCTGGCATGTGCTTCGTCCCGGTGGATAGACAATAGCCTCATATCAAACCCACATAAGAGGTTCTCTACCCACTCACTGAAAACTCTACCAGGAAGTCTAATGTCAAATACTCTTGTGTGAAGAACGGCAGCGGGTATTCAAGGCTGTAATGCTAACTCCTCCAGGGCGGGACCAGGATTCCCTGCAGTCTGTCTGCTGAGAACTTCGGCCTATGGTTACTAGGGTTTAACCACACAGGGTATCCCCAGCACCAGGTCTCTCTCTCGCTCTCCTCCAGAGATGGGCAAGTCACAGGAATGCACGCCCGCTGTCCCAGAAAGGGGTGACTGGACTCAGTGAGATCAACGAGTCTAAAAGTCAATCATTCTGATCCAGGTCAGACTGCCCATGGCATATCCCCCCATATTGCTCTAGGCTATGTCTACACTACAGAGTTTTTCCGAAAAAATGTCACTTATGTCCACACTGCAATCACATTCTTTCAAAACAAATATTGAAAGGGGTTTTCCCGACATTGGTAAACCTCTTTCTATGAGGAAGAAGCCTTTTTGCGAAAGAGCTCTTTCGGGAAAAGGCGTGTGTGGACGGGGATGAGGGAGTTCTTTCGAAAGAAGAGGAAAGAGGAAAAAGCACAGGTGCCCCGGTGGCCACTCCGCCCATAGCAATCAGAGCTAGCATGCGAGAGAGCGTCCAGTGAGTGAGGACGCTCTTTGGAAAAAGCAGATCCCTTTTTCAATGCGCTTTGGCAGTCTGGACGCTCTCTCTCGGAAGAAGTGTTTTCAGAAGATCTCTTCTGGAAAAGCTTCTTCCAAAAGAAGCCTCAGTCGAGACATAGCCCCTGTGTCACAGCTGCCTCCCAGTGCTCCACGTCCAATGGTCACAGCACACTGCTCTCCTTCTTGGGAGTTGCAAATACCAACTGCAAGGGGCTGAGGAAAATGCACTGCCACCGTTTATAAAGGGGGTGGGGCGAGGGAAGGAGTGCACAAGGGCGAAAAACGATGTGGATTACTGACCTGTCATAGTGATGGTGATTTCTTGCACCGATATCTTAAAAACACAAGAGATGGGTTTGTTAGGCTGCCTCACTGGCTGCCAGCCAAAGCAGTGAGGACACAGACTTTCCCAATTAAGGTTTGTGGCTGTAATTCACTTTACAGTATTTGCCCATGGCTGGAACGCTAAGGTGTATTCACAGAGAAGCCTTGAAATAGACGACAGATTGCTTTTCTTCTCAACATCAGGTTATGAATTTATTTTGCCAAAAGCCTCTTTAGTGAATAAAATATGCTGCAGTTGAGAATGGGACAATACAATCTGCAGTTTGAATATTTCATCCAGAAACTGCTAAGGATGCAAGTGCGATATACAATTTTATTAGATTTTAAAAACACGGTAGCATTTCAATGTCCAGACTGCCATAGTTAAGATCCCCCAAACAACGTTAGCACTAACTCCATCACTGCACCACCCATTTCCACGCCCGTGATTTATATACCCAGGAGAGGTCAGTGGTAACCATTCACGGTAGTTCATGTACTTTCAAGGCAGGATTGGGATCAATTTTCCAACTTGTCACATCTCCAATTAATCTGAGATGCAAGGAAAAACACAGCACATGCCCGGCCCCGAGGGAGGCGCTCTGAACGCAGTACCTGAATGGGATTCGTGTGCGGCAGGAGCATGGTCCCAATGCGGATCACGTTGCACTTTCCCAGGAACTTTGGGGGATTTGGGCCTTCCAACAACTCCCTCTTCAGTGGCAGCTCTTTCCCAGGGGAAGCAGGCACAGAACCGCTGTCAGGCTGGCTGAGGTTGGGAAGAACATAATCTACACAGGACAGTTTACAGAGCTTGCTGATTTGGGCACAGATGGTCACTAAATCTGGACAAAACAAGAAAGGAACACACGTTATTCCCTCCGCTGGCCAGCAGTCCCAGCTGCACCTGTTATCAACGCAGGACACGCTGCAGCCTGGCTTTCCAGTCGCTATTTATACTTCTGCAAGCAAGAAATGGCAGCCCTCACACGAGCCATACCGCTCCCAGTAAGCTGTGGGACCACTGCCACGTAAGAGAGGCCACGCGGCGCTCTGCATCCCATCCGTGGCTCTCTGTGTCTGCTGGCAGCCCACTCCCAGCACAGCACAGGTGCCTGTGCAAAGGGCCACCCTGGGATCTGTCCCTCTCCACTGATGGGTGCAGTCTGCCTCTGGGGACACGCCACTGGAAGGAGCAAGCGCACAGTGCAGGCGTGACAGGCCAGCCGAGAGCATTACCCCCCAACGCACAGCACAGCGCGGGCGTCACAGGCCAGCCGAGAGCATTACCCCCCAACGCACAGCACAGCGCGGGCGTCACAGGCCAGCCGAGAGCATTACCCCCCAACGCACAGCACAGCGCGGGCGTCACAGGCCAGCCGAGAGCATTACCCCCCAACGCACAGCACAGCGCGGGCGTCACAGGCCAGCCGAGAGCATTACCCCCCAACGCACAGCACAGCGCGGGCGTCACAGGCCAGCCGAGAGCATTACCCCCCAACGCACAGCACAGCGCGGGCGTCACAGGCCAGCCGAGAGCATTACCCCCCAACGCACAGCACAGCGCGGGCGTCACAGGCCAGCCGAGAGCATTACCCCCCAACGCACAGCACAGCGCGGGCGTCACAGGCCAGCCGAGAGCATTACCCCCCAACGCACAGCACAGCGCGGGCGTCACAGGCCAGCCGAGAGCATTACCCCCCAACGCACAGCACAGCGCGGGCGTCACAGGCCAGCCGAGAGCATTACCCCCCAACGCACAGCACAGCGCGGGCGTCACAGGCCAGCCGAGAGCATTACCCCCCAACGCACAGCACAGCGCGGGCGTCACAGGCCAGCCGAGAGCATTACCCCCCAACGCACAGCACAGCGCGGGCGTCACAGGCCAGCCGAGAGCATTACCCCCCAACGCACAGCACAGCGCGGGCGTCACAGGCCAGCCGAGAGCATTACCCCCCAACGCACAGCACAGCGCGGGCGTCACAGGCCAGCCGAGAGCATTACCCCCCAACGCACAGCACAGCGCGGGCGTCACAGGCCAGCCGAGAGCATTACCACCCAACGCACAGCACAGCGCCCCATTGAATCAGCCGCAGCAATGCCTACTTGTTGTAGCTCACCGACGTAACTAGTCTCTATCTCAGGGCTGGGCAAAAGGGCCTCCATGGGCCGGATTCTGCCCACCACGTGGGTTGATCCGGCCTGGGCAGGCCCTGCTGCCCCCGGCCAATCAGGGCCTATGGACAGGGGCGTGTGCAGCACTTAGAGGTCAACCCTGGCGGCTGACGAAGCACTGAGCGCCGGAGGGCAGGCAGCAAGAGACTGTGCACACTGGCTCTGCCCCCAGGCCAATTAAGGCTTGGGGGGAGGGGGAAGGGGGGGTACACGAAGTCTCCTCCCGCCCTGCCCTGCAAGGAGTGCGTGGTGCTTAGAAGCGGGGCGTGCTCCTTGCAGGGCGGGAAGAGACTTTGCGCGCTACCCCGACTCCCAGAGCCTGATCGGCCTGGGTATGGTGCGCCGCGCCTAGAGGGAACCGCCAGCTGCTCTGAACTGTCTCTGGGTGAGGGGGGGCAAAGGCTTCACAGGCTCCCCCACCCCAGACCAAGCAGGGTCTGTGGGTGGGGAAGCACAGAAGTTTCCTGGCCCTGCCCGGGGCCACTTCAAAAACGACTGCCCCTCCTGCTCTATCTGCTCCGCAAGACGGTGCTGAGTTCTGTGAGGTTACGTCTCTGCTGGCAGCATTTACTCCAAATGTGGCTTGCAGGGACCAGGGGAAGTCAGTGTGTAAGCAAGAGCCTCATTACCTGGAATAATTCTGTCATTTTTCTGGACAGGCTTCAGCATTGGTTCAAACTGCATAGCCAAGGATTTAGTCAGCTCCTGAACCAAGCACTCGTAGCTAGCCCGGATGTAGCTCTAGAACAAGACATGGCTTCAGGCTCCCATACTGCACTCTCGGACGGGGTTTCTTCTAGTCGCAAGCCTGTTGCCTAGCGAGCTGCTTCACCGCTAGGGCGCTCGGCTCAGGCTAAAGCTCTGTGATACCCCCACAGAAGAGCCAAAGAAAGGTGCAACTCGGAGGGCTCAGGTTGAAATTTTAGAGGGAAACCCTGGATGTTAACTCACCAGGTTAGAAACTACCTCTCCCGTTTATCTACCCGTGGCCATTTGAATACCAGCTGCAACTCTTACTACATGGCAAAGGGAAAAGCTCCAATGCTGCCGTCCAGTGGCGCTCAACGGCAGGGGCTGAACTAGAGGGCCTCCTGGGATCTCTTCCAACCTAATCTCCGGTCATTCTGGATCACACGGTGCAAGGCCAGTGACCTTCCTCTCACCTGGAGCAGGTCAAGCTGTTGCTGCAACTTGTCAGTGGCATTGTTAAACATGGCCTTCTTCTGACTCTGGACACACTTCTGCATAAGAGCTTTCATTCTCTGGAAACTGCCAGGGCCGTTCAGCTGGCTACACGCTACGGGAGAAAGATGCTCGTTAACCGCCCGCCCATCACTCCACAGGCGCTGGCGCAGTCTTGCCCACGTGCTACTCAACCCAGGGCTGGCAGGGTGCCTGGTGCCGCCTCTGGCTACTAGAATGGAAACTGCGGGTCCTTCTGATCCAAGCAGCCCTGAACTGCTTGCTGGGACCGGCAGTGCCGTGGGCACCAGACAGCCCTGCGCTCCGCCAAGCCCCACGCTGTCGCAAGGAGAGGAGACGCTCTCCCTCGGAGACGCGTGGGGGGCAAGGCCTGCGTGGGACACTGAACTCGCTGCAGAAGAGCCAGTGGACACGGTTTCACTGTAGAACTCCCGATACACTGAGCGTGTGGACCACTCAGACTGTGAACTGCACAGTCAGGAGAAGCTCTGTGGTCATGAGCCTGAACACATGTCCAGCGCTTCCACAGCAAGCCCCAGCATGGATTAGACTCTGGATGTCCAGCGCCACCAACCCATCCACGCAACAGACCCGCCGCTGCCGTGAGACAGCAGCACACAGTCTGCGCTGCAGCCAGCCGCTAGGGGAGTCGCGAGCACCCAAAAGCCAGGGTATTGCATGCTGATCCCGCAAGCTGTTTTCAGCAGCGGCAGCGCTGACAAGCAGCATCAGTAGACTATGGTATGGGCCCGATGTTAGGCTGTCCTCTGGCAGCCTGAAAACACACCGGCACCCTGCAGTCTGAACAGTCCCTCGGTTTCACTCTCAAACCAGTGGGTCGTGTTCGGCCTATCACGCTTCTGCTTCTGCATCACAGGCTGCCAGTTTTAATCAGCCCAGACCTCTGCAATAGCGCTGACAAGCAGCATCAGTAGACTATGGTATGGGCCCGATGTTAGGCTGTCCTCTGGCAGCCTGAAAACACACCGGCACCCTGCAGTCTGAACAGTCCCTCGGTTTCACTCTCAAACCAGTGGGTCGTGTTCGGCCTATCACGCTTCTGCTTCTGCATCACAGGCTGCCAGTTTTAATCAGCCCAGACCTCTGCAATTGAACTCAACAGCTAATTACTACTTCAAACACGCTACCACACGAAGGCGTCACCACAACAGCGTCTCTGACGTCCATTACTTTAAATTCCCAAAGATTTACGTTGGAACAGCCAGAAGGATCACAGGAAGAGGTCAGCCGTCCTGCATTTCAACCGCTGCTCTTTGGTAAGACTGCCATTTCCTAAGAACAGCCGAACTGTGTCAGACCAAAGCCTAGATCCCTGTTTTCTGATAGTGGCCAGGGCCAGGTATCCCAGAGGGAATGAACAGAACAGGTAGCCATCAAGTGATCCATTCCCAGCCTCTGGCAAAGAGAGGCTGGTGACACCACCCTGACCCATCCTGGCTAATAACCGTCGATGGAGCTACCCTCCATTAATTTACCTAGTTCTTTTTTTTTAATCCTCTTACAGTCTTGGTCTTCACAACACCCTCTGGCAAGGCCGACTGTATGTTGTGTGAAGAAATTCTTCCTTTGGTTTTAAACCTGCTGCCCCTTAATTTGATTTGGTGATCCCTAGTTCTTGTGTTATGAGAAGGCCATAATAAGACTTCCTTAGCTACTTTCCCCACACCAGTCATGATTTTATAGACAATCATACCCTCCCTTAGGCATCTCTTTTCCAGCCTGACAAGTCCCCATCTTATACACCTCTCCACGTATGGAAGCTGTTCACACCCCTAATCACTTCTGTTGCCAATTGCTGGGCCTTTTCCAATTCCAATATCTCTTTTTGAGATAGGGCGACACACCTGCCCGCACTATCCAAGCTGTGGGCGTGCCAGGGATGTATCCAGACACCATACAATATCATTGGCCGTATCACCCATCCCCTCCTCAAGGATTCCAGACAGCGTCCGGCTGGCTGACTGCAGCCGCACACTGAGGGGATGGGTAGTGTCACATTTCTGTCAGGTCAAGGCAAGCCCCAGGTCTGGATGCTACTGCATTGCTGTGACAGCCTCCAGCTCAGCGCGGCTGTGGAATTTCTCTCTCGGCTCCTCCTCCCCATCTGACTGATCTGCACGTACACACCAGTACCATTTGGCTGCTCAAGAATAAGAATTTAAAGTGACCTCTTTGGCCTCTGACATTTCAGAAGTAAAAGCAGGAAAAACACAGGAAGCCAGACTTAACCCAGCTATAGGATTTTCCTACCTGCATATATTGGCTTCATGCTAGCCTGTATTTCTGGTGTCAGGACGCGGGATATACCTCGCTGCCTTTTCTTGATGTACTCGGTCTGATCCAGGAGAAAGTTGCACAGCTGAGAAGTGGAGGAAGGAATGATCAGAATGGTATGCTACAAAAAGGCTCTGCCATTTCAAAGAGAGCATACGTTTGCCAACTCTTGCCCATTACCAATGATGGCTGCATTATTTGTGCATTTGCAGAGTCCCTCAGTAGGTACCAGGTGTGACGGCGCGTTGGGGTTTCCCCGTCTCCTGCACCCCAAAATGGCACAAACAGACTGCACCAGCCAGTGGAATTGAGGGTGGTTTATTGCTCCTCCAGCACAGCGCAGCACAGATGTAATCTGGTTACAGGAACTGGGGCTAAGAGGCCTCAGTGCCCCCCCTTGAGATAGGGGAGTCCCAGCCCCCTCCCCAGCTCCCTATTCCCTGCCTTCCAGCCAGGAACTAACTAACCCTCCACCAGCCCTGCCCCCCAGCCAGGGCAGCATCCACCTTCCTTTGTTCCTCTCCATGGGGGGTGTCTGGCCACTGGTTCAACAAGTTTGGCATTACCTTGGTCTAGTGAGGCTTTCCCTGCTGGGTCTTTGCTCCAGACAGCCGGGGTCACCACAGCCCAGCAAGTACCCCCACTACGTCACACCAGGCAAACTGCAAAACGTGAGGCACCCTCACCATATTCACGCAACACAAATCAGACAGACTGTGAAGGGTGTCCACTGTCCGAACCCCTCTGCCAATCTTACCAAAGCCTGCACAGCTTCCATTTGGTGCCTCTGAATGGCGCTTACTGGCTCTGTGTTTCTGCCTCTTTTCTGGAGCTTGCTCTTAAGATCTTTGAAGAAGTATTTCAATGCATCTAAGATGGTTTTGCTGAACTGATTGATGGACTCCCCCAATCTACAGCTGGAAGGGGAGAAAGGCATTCAGGGATTAATTCAGATACTGAACGGCAGGGAGGGGCAAATTCCAGCCCACAGGCTGGATCCAGTCTGCAGGTCTAGTCCCTAGTGGGCCTCCACCTCTTCATTTACCTGTGTATCGGGTGATCACAGCTCTTGTTGGCTGAGAATCGCCATTCACAACCAACGGGAGTGGTGGGAAGCGGTGTCCCGGTCTGCACCGCTCCCATTGGCTGTGAATGGGGATCCGCGGCCAATGGAAGCTGTGGGAAGCGGTGTCCCGGTCTGCACCGCTCCCATTGGCTGTGAATGGGGATCCGCGGCCAATGGAAGCTGTGGGAAGCGGTGTCCCGGTCTGCACCGCTCCCATTGGCTGTGAATGGGGATCCGCGGCCAATGGAAGCTGTGGGAAGCGGTGTCCCGGTCTGCACCGCTCCCATTGGCTGTGAATGGGGATCCGCGGCCAATGGAAGCTGTGGGAAGCGGTGTCCCGGTCTGCGCCACTCCAGTTGGCTGTGAATGGTGATCCGCGGCCAATGGGAGCTGTGGGAAGCGGTGTCCCGGTCTGCGCCACTCCAGTTGGCTGTGAATGGTGATCCGCGGCCAATGGGAGCTGTGGGAAGCGGTGTCCCGGTCTGCGCCACTCCAGTTGGCTGTGAATGGTGATCCGCGGCCAATGGGAGCTGTGGGAAGCGGTGTCCCGGTCTGCGCCACTCCAGTTGGCTGTGAATGGTGATCCGCGGCCAATGGGAGCTGTGGGAAGCGGTGTCCCGGTCTGCGCCACTCCAGTTGGCTGTGAATGGTGATCCGCGGCCAATGGGAGCTGTGGGAAGCGGTGTCCCGGTCTGCGCCACTCCAGTTGGCTGTGAATGGTGATCCGCGGCCAATGGGAGCTGTGGGAAGCGGTGTCCCGGTCTGCGCCACTCCAGTTGGCTGTGAATGGTGATCCGCGGCCAATGGGAGCTGTGGGAAGCGGTGTCCCGGTCTGCGCCACTCCAGTTGGCTGTGAATGGTGATCCGCGGCCAATGGGAGCTGTGGGAAGCGGTGTCCCGGTCTGCGCCACTCCAGTTGGCTGTGAATGGTGATCCGCGGCCAATGGGAGCTGTGGGAAGCGGTGTCCCGGTCTGCGCCACTCCAGTTGGCTGTGAATGGTGATCCGCGGCCAATGGGAGCTGTGGGAAGCGGTGTCCCGGTCTGCGCCACTCCAGTTGGCTGTGAATGGTGATCCGCGGCCAATGGGAGCTGTGGGAAGCGGTGTCCCGGTCTGCGCCACTCCAGTTGGCTGTGAATGGTGATCCGCGGCCAATGGGAGCTGTGGAAAGCGGTGTCCCGGTCTGCGCCGCTCCCATTGGCTGTGAATGGTGATCCGCGGCCAATGGGAGCTGTGGAAAGCGGTGTCCCGGTCTGCGCTGCTCCCATTGGCTGTGAATGGTGATCCGCGGCCAATGGGAGCTGTGGGAAGCGGTGTCCCGGTCTGCGCTGCTCCCATTGGCTGTGAATGGTGATCCGCGGCCAATGGGAGCTGTGGGAAGCGGTGTCCCGGTCTGCGCTGCTCCCATTGGCTGTGAATGGTGATCCGCGGCCAATGGGAGCTGTGGGAAGCGGTGTCCCGGTCTGCGCTGCTCCCATTGGCTGTGAATGGTGATCCGCGGCCAATGGGAGCTGTGGGAAGCGGTGTCCCGGTCTGCGCTGCTCCCATTGGCTGTGAATGGTGATCCGCGGCCAATGGGAGCTGTGGGAAGCGGTGTCCCGGTCTGCGCTGCTCCCATTGGCTGTGAATGGTGATCCGCGGCCAATGGGAGCTGTGGGAAGCGGTGTCCCGGTCTGCGCTGCTCCCATTGGCTGTGAATGGTGATCCGCGGCCAATGGGAGCTGTGGGAAGCGGTGTCCCGGTCTGCGCTGCTCCCATTGGCTGTGAATGGTGATCCGCGGCCAATGGGAGCTGTGGGAAGCGGTGTCCCGGTCTGCGCTGCTCCCATTGGCTGTGAATGGTGATCCGCGGCCAATGGGAGCTGTGGGAAGCGGTGTCCCGGTCTGCGCTGCTCCCATTGGCTGTGAATGGTGATCCGCGGCCAATGGGAGCTGTGGGAAGCGGTGTCCCGGTCTGCGCTGCTCCCATTGGCTGTGAATGGTGATCTGTGGCCAATGGGAGCTGTGGGAAGCGGTGCCCTCCGAGGATCTCAACGCACTCCCCACGCTTACGAAGCTGTCTATCACAGCCTAATGAAGATGGACCACTGCTCTGATTCAGTGCGGCAATGTACTGTGTGGACCTTCTGGGTTACATGGGGTTGAAATCTTAATTCACAGCCGGGTATTGTAGTTCTATTACTCCTTGACAGTAATATTACCCTCCAAAGAATCAGGCAATTTTACATTCCCTTAATGGGCTTTGGAATTTAAGACCTTCACGCCCGCTAAGGCTTGCACTACAACACGTCACCACTGGGACACAGGGATGGTGTATAAGGGGCAGCCTATTCACTTTTCTGAAAAAAGTGACTGGGGAATGTGGCCCCCGTTCTGCCCCTGCACTGGAGCACACCGGGCTGCGCCCCGCACTCCGGCGTTTGGTGGCCAGACGGGGGCCCCCCTGGTTCCGTGTGATACACGAGTACACTGAGTCAGCCGTGCGGTGATCTCCCCCTCTGGGGGACAGGAAGCGAGCTGGAAGGCGCAGCCCTGCAGAGGTGAGACCATGACGCTTTGCCAGGCCCAGTATCTAACAGTGGGATGAAGTGGCCGAGGACACGAGAGAGCAGAGGCCATGCCTCTTGCACCAGCTCATCTCTCAGGTCTGGCCGTCCGCACACGGGGTGTTCCAAGTGTCTAGCGTTAGCACAGCTACCCCAGCGTGCAGTGAAGAGGCGAGTACCTGAAGACCTCATTCCACGTCATGGAGATTGCGCTGGATATCGGCTCTGTGAGCTGCTCGTTGAAATCCACAAAGCCGCATGCTACAGAGCTGTAGAGGCCATGACGAGCACACACAGCCCGGTACGTGGCGTAGGGGTATCCAATCCCCTGCAAAGCACAAAGCAAGGAGAGAGAGGGTCTGTCTCTAGACAGACAGCATTCCACACACCAGGAGACAGCAGCTCAGCTCTACGACAGGAATACACCCTTCAGTTTCAGACAGGCAAGAACCGCACCATGGGAGTCAACCACCTCACACTCCGCAAGGCAGTTGCTGCCTATGGGTTAGCGATGCTGCTGAGTGTTGTACAGTAACACAAACAGAAAGGGCAGCTCCAAAGGTACAACAGTCAATTGTCTATGACAATTCATTGGCCCACGTGCAGGCTCTCAGATGCTGTTCCCCCACACAAATAAGATGACGTAAGTGCCAATACAGAACGGTTGGCAGGGAGATGGTGCGGGATACACTACAACAGTGAGCGGAATAGCATGGAAAACGTTGTTATTTGTATTATGGCAATGGTTAAGGGCCTTTTTTTTTTAATCACGGGACTTTTTCATGTGACTTTCTCATCAGATTGCACTCTGACTTCCATCCTCCTTTCCTCGGAAGGACTGACAGAGCCTCCGGCAATAGTTCCTCTGCTACGGACTGTCTGTCCATACCGCGTGTGACTCCATATCCACCTGCTTTCCCTCAGCCCTTCATTTAAAGCCTGCTCTACAATCCACTTCGTTTTCAATGCCAGCAACCTGGTTCCAGTTTGCTCTAGTTGGAGCACATCCACTGCCGTGCCCCTCAGACAACCACCCCCGCAGCCCAGTTCTACAGCACGCCGAGAGTGCTGCGAACACACCAGACCGTCTTCTTCCCGCCCTCCAGCACCGGTCAGCATTAGCATCGCTTTCCATTTGGCCACAGGGGCGGAGGAGAGTTTTGCGGGGCCCCCCTTTGGAGAAAAAATAGAAAAAAGGTGTCCCCCCTGAGCCCACTCCTCCAGTAGCCCCACACTGATCATGTGAGCTACCCCTCCTCCATCCCCTCTCCTAACACCTCCCCGCCCACCTGCCCTGCCTCTCTCCTCTCGGGCTGGTCCCTCCCCTGCAGGTGTCTGCCCTTCACCCCCAGAATCCCCTGGCACCTGCACCTTCCCTTAGCCCTGCACCCTCCTGGTGCCTCCCCCTTTCCTCACTGCCCCCGCCCCCTTTTTCCCTGATGCCCACCCCCTCACCACCCTCTGCCCCCATTCCCCTCATGTCCCTCTGTGCCCTCACACATCTTGCTCCATCCCCACCTTCCTCATGCCACCCCTCCTTTCAAGCCTTCTCCCAGCACCTCCCCTTCCCCTCTCCTCTCCCAGCATCACCCTGCCCCCCCTCCCACTGACACCTCCCCTCCTGCCCTTTTCCTCATTGTCTGCACTTGGCCCCCTGGCATTTGTGTCTCCTCCACGCTGTCCCTTGGTGCCTTCTCCTTTCTTCTCTTGACCTGCCCCCTCCCCTCAGCACAAGCCCCTTCCTCTGCCATCCACCTTCTGCCTTCCAGTTTGCAGAGCGGTCGCGACCCCGGCCCAGGCTCCAGGCCACGTGCCGAACCGAGCGGTGCAACGCTGGGCCGTGTGGTTTTAAAGTCCCAGGCCGTGACGTCATGCCACGCCCGGGCGTCTCCCCTCTCAGCTATTGTGCGGCGTTTCAGCACGTCACACATGCGCTCCCTCGGCCCCACATGGCCCGTACTAGCTGGCGCCAGGGAATTTAAAGTGTGGGGCTACGGCGCCCCGCCACAATCCCCCTCCTCCTCCAGCCGCCGCCAGCCGGCCAGTCGGTGGACAGCCCACCAGGAAATTCCCGGTATCCCACCAGGCCAGTCCACCCCTGGCGCTGGCATGGGGCCTATTGAAGCGTGGTGCCTGGGGCAGCCACCCCACTCACCCTGCCCTATATCCGCCGCTGTTTGGCCATGTACAAACTCGGTCCATGGAGAGCAGAGGGGTACGGTAATGGACGAGCACAAGGAAAGAGCCCTGGAAGACGGGCAAGATGGCAGTGGTGCTCTGGCAAACGGAACTGCAGAGGGAAGTACATGTCTTACCGGTAACCCCCAACTTCTGACTTTGTCTTCACACATCTCCTCTGCCCTTATGGCTCCTTTCTTTAGATTGGAGAGAATAAGGACAGAAAAATAGAACTGGATGTCTTGGAGGCTGTCTTCCACCACCTCCTGAAGTTGTGAGCGCAGGGCCAACAAACAGTCCTGCACCAATTCTTGGACCTGGGCCCGGTGGGAATTGTCCTGAAAGCAAACAGAGAGTATCCTAAGAGGGGGTCATATCAGAAGCCATATGCAGGGCCTGCCGCTCAGCAGGCTGGAATGCAAGTTGCCATCCTTGCTGTACACAGTCTAGTACAGCCTTGAAGTCTGTAAACACAAACACCAGCTGGCCCTTATCAGCTTTAACCCGTGCACTGGAGCTGGGAAACGACTAAGCGGTAAGACATCTGACCTTGGTCTCAGCTCCTAAGAGTGACAAGAATGGCGTCGAGCCAGTACGCGCACACCCGAGAAACAACTGTGATACAACTATTGTAGGGAGTCCCGTGCCCGACGAGTTTCACCAGGGACCTAGACCTCGGAGGGTGCCCTGGATTCCCCCAGCTGGAGCCATGTCGGCCGCAGCCCTCGAAGCAAGGATCAGAGATGGGACTCCCCACGGTAGAAGGGACGTAAGCATTCCAAGTGCCTTTTACTCTTCTACGCATTGCTCTGCAGCGCTTGCTGATGTGCACCCGGTCTGTAGTAGCAGTGACGTAGTGAGACAATAAAACAAACGGTCCCTAAGAGACGCTGTGCTGAAGCAAATCCATAATCCTGTTCATCCATGGCCCTGTGAGTTGACAGAGGGGACTGTAAAAAGTTCTCTGTGCAACAGGCACGTGAGGCCAGCTACATCCTTGCTGAGATCTGCCAGTTGCTTCAAAAACTTCCAGAGAACCCCACATACAGTGCAAGCAAGCAACATGGGCCCCTGCAGCATTGCTTCAGGTCCTGAGAAGTTGGCTCTGCAAGACCTAGAATTAAAGAACATGACAAAGAGCTAACTTGGTCATCCAGAGACACCAGCTGGGTATCTTTTATTGGCCCAGCTCCCACCGGTAAGAGAGAAGTTTCTTGGCCTCACAGTGCTCTTCTTCAGGTCTCTGTATAAGCTTGGAAGCTTGTCTCTCTCACTAACAGAAGCAGGTCCAATAGAAGACCAGTGGAAGATCCTGTGACCATAAAAGCATGCACATACCTCCGAGATGTAGGCATCCTGCTTTCTTACAAAGACATTATACAACACAGGGCAGCAGCAGCTGCAGCAAGATACCATGAGCCAAAGAGCCACAGCTACTTAGCCACCGACGCCTGTAACAAAGAGGTACAGCCTACAGAAACTAGACTACCCCGCCTGCAGTGACTCACCCGAGCCAAGCGCTTAGGTCACACATCACACTGGGGCCTGCAATGTCTTCTGACCATAACGCCATAGAGAGGCCACAGGCTGACCCTCAGAACTTTGGGAGCTGGACACGGCTCAGAAGATGTACTTTGGCATCCCCTGGTTTAGTGACATGATTAATTGCCTTTGCCTTACTCTGCCACTGTGGGACCCACCTAACAAGTACACCTCCCAGGTCAGTATTAGACAGACCACTGGCACGATGGCACTTTTCTCTCATGTGTGAATTTGTCTTTGGTCAGACTAATAACTGCCCATTGTCTGCCAGCACTGCTGCCTCGGAGGCGCTCCACGTGCAGGAGATAATCACAGAATCTCAGAACACGAGCACTGGCAGGGACCTCGAGAGGCATCGAGTCCAGCCCCCCACCCTCATGGCAGGAACCAGCCCCGTCTAATCATCCCTGGCAGGTGTCTGTCCAACCTGCTCTTCAATATCCCCAGGAATGGAGATTCTACAACCTCCCCAGGCAACTTATTCCCGTGTTTCACCCCCCGACAGGCAGGAAGTTTTTCCTAACGTTCAATCTAAACCTCCCTGGCTGCAGTTTAAGCCCCTTGCTGCTTGTCCCGTCCTCAGAGGCCAAGAAAAATCCCACCCCCTTCTCCTTGTAACACCCTTTTAGAGACCTGAAAACTGCTCTCATGTCCCCTTCTCAGTCTTCTCTTTTCCAAACTAAACCAGCCCAGTTCCTTCGGCCTTCCCTCACAGCTCATGTTTTCTAGACTTGGAATCATTTTTGCTGCTATTGTCCAATTTCTCCACATCTTTCTTGAAATGTGGTGCCCAGAACTGGACACAAGACTCCAACTGAGGCCTAACCAGCGCAGAGTAGAGAGGAAGAATGACTCCTCGTGTCTTGCTCACAACACTCCTGTTAATGCAGCCCAGAATCACGTTTGCTTTTTTTTGCCACACTGTTGACTCATATTGAGCTTGTGATCCACTCTGACCCTAGATCCCTTTCTGCCGGACTCCTTCCTAGACAGTCGCTTCCCATTCTGTGTGTGTGAAATGGATTCATCTTATTTACCTCAGACCGTTTCTCTAGTTTGTTCCGGTCATTTTGAATTCTGACCCATCCTCCAGAGTACTCACAACCCCTCCCAGCTTGGGATCATCTGCAAACTTAAAAAGCGTCCTCTCTGTGCCAATATCTAAATCGTTGATGAAGATACTGAACAGAACCGGGTCCAAAACAGACCCCTGCGGAACCCACTTGTTAGACCTTTCCAGCAGGATTGAGAACCATTAATAACTACTCTCTGAGAACAGTTATCCAGCAAGTTATGCACCCACCTTATAGTAATCCCTTTTAGGTTGTATTCCCCTAGCTTACTGATAAGAAGGTCATGCTAGTCTGTGTCAAATGCCTCACTACAGTCTAGGTATCCCACGTCCACCACTTCTCTCTTATCCACAAGGCTTGTTATCCTATCTAAGAAAGCGATCAGATTGGTCTGACACAATCCGTGCTGTCCATGTTACCTGTCACCTTATTTTCTCCCAGATATTTGAATTCCTTAATTACTTGCTTCATTATCTTCCCTGGCACAGAAGTTAAACTGATGGGTCTGTCGTTTCCTGGGTTGTTCTTATTTCCCTTTTTTAGGTGGGCACTAGATTTGCCCTTTTCCCGTCTTCTGGAGTCTCTCCCGACGCCCTTGACTTTCCAAAGATGATCGCTGGAGGCTCAGATAGCTCCTCTATCAGCTCCTGGAGGATTCTAGGTGCATTTAAACAGCCCCTGGGGACTTGCAGACATCTCACTTTTCTAATAGAAGCCAGTCAACATGGAAGGCTTTAAACAAGTTCAAACGAATCCCTGTATTTTAGAGACACACACTCAGGCCTGTTCTGCAAACCGGGAAACCGAGACACGAGAAAATGGTCTCTTCTGTTCCTTAAATACTCATCATTAAGCAGGAGTCCACTAGGCCAGTGGTCCCCAACCTTTCGTGGCTGCCAGGCGTCCGGGGGCGGGGCAACACATGCGCCGCGCGCCCGGGGGTGGGGCCACCCACACACCCTGCGCCTGGTGCCAGCACTGCGCATGTGCCGTACACCCGGGGCAGGGACCGCCCATGAGCCACGCGCCCAGGGCCGGCACCACGGATGTGCGGCACGCCGGGGGCGGGGCCAGCCCAGATGTTTTGGCGGGTGCACATAAATGCCCCCACGGGCGCCGTGTTGAGGACCACTACACTAGGCCATGCTGGCTGCACTTGGAGCATTTCTTTTCCATCTACAGTAGGACCCAGACCAATAGCACTAACAACCAACAGAGGGCGTCACCCCAGAAGCTAGAGTTCATACATGTCACTGCAATGTGTCTATTCCCTGTTATACACCTGCAAATACCCATCAGGTCTGATTAAACTTTTCACAGGTGCCCAACCCACATATAAGCTAAAAACGCGAGCGTGTGCTTACCTCTGCTCTCTGATTGGTCAGATAGTTGACCACTTGACTTATGACCCGAGCTACATTTCTGATCACTTTCTCTGTTGCCACCATGCTGTGCTGCAAGGCAGTGTGAATGGCAAACTTCTTCAGAGCTGGTATTTCTAGACAGAGAAGAGAATCTTACTGTCCCCCACGTGGCCCAGTTCCTCAGGAATTACGCAAGTGACATTTGCACACAGAGGCCTCGCCAACAGGCAATCCCTGCCCAGAAGAGCTTGGAGTCCAATTTAAAACAAAAGGGGAGAACGCTCAGCGTTCCAGGGGCTCGTGAGCAGCTGAGGGACCGGGCCACGGACTCAGCAGCGGGACAGCTGGGCTCCCGGTACGTGTGAATACCTGTATCCTCGTCGCTGTGGAAGACTTGCGGCTGCCCATCGCGGAGCAGTTTTCCATGCAGTTTTAGGTATTCTGTAGAACTGACTGTGAAAACCTGAAGTTTCCCATGCTGGGATTCATCTTCCCGAGGGTCGCTTGTGTCCGACGTAGTCAAGTCTTCATCTTCGGGCTCCTCCTCCTCCTCATCTTCGCTACCTTCAGCACATGCCGCTTTCCTTCTCATCGCCTGCAACAAAGAACAGCCTCCCTTTCACCTGCACTCACAGCAGACTGGCTGATAAGCTGCAGCAGCTGTGGGGAAAATCTAGTTTAGACCCTTGAAGGAGCACTAGGAGATGTGTGCTGGGTCAACCACAAGCTGCTTTTGGTGCGGCTCTCTGGCCCGTTTTACTCAGAAAGCCATGCTGGTAATCTATGAATGGACGTGCAATCCTTCTCCTGAAATCAGCAGAACACGAACACGGGGGCGCCCTCTAGATGGTGGATCTCATTAAAACGGGCCCTAGCGGTTCACTAACAGCTATTCGGATTAAAGGAGCAGCAGCATCAAAACTATAGGGATTCCCTCAGTCGTCAGAGTGTTGACACTGCAGATTTTAGTTGCACCTCACTACAGCCACTGACTCCACAAGAGCAACAAAATCCAGCTGGTGTCCCGGCAATGCTGCCACCCCTTGGTGTTCCCATGGATTCCTACCTGAAGGCTGTTCTTGAAATCCATCCAAATCCGCTGTTTGGAAAACTGATTTCGGGACTGAACGCAGATCAGACTAATGTCACGAAGCTTCTTCTCTCTCTCTCTCTGCAAACTGCTGATCTACGTGAAGGAGAAATTGGAGAAATAAAATGACACCCAGGACGGGCAGTAGCCTTGACAAAAACCCAAGTGCCAGCTGCAGCCAAAAGCAGACACTGCCTGTGATCTGCACAGAGATGGCTGTTGTCTTGGGATGTCACTGCTGTTCAGGATCAGATGGACAAAGCTGCCAAATGAAGCACCTTAAAGGGAGATGTGACTTACTGGTAGCTGGAGGGTCTTCGAGGTGGAAGGTCCCTATCTGTATTCTACTGTGTACTGGAGGGTTGGATGAGTCACTCGCGCCCCTGCCTACCCCGGAGAGAAGAGACAGAGTGGACGGACACCTCCCCAGTTGCTCCTTTGCCAAGAGCTGGCAGAGATCCAAAGCAGAGGGGAAGGAGAACAGGTAGGTGAACAGGCAGCAGCATCTCAAAGAACCTCCCACGATAGATAAGTAACGTCCTGTTCTCCTCAGCGCAGGGGTCTCCAACCTTTCAAAGCACAAAACTGCTCTTTGAATTCACGTGAAATCCAGGACCCACATCAAACTCAAACACCCTCGGCCTGTCTCCTTCCCCACCCCTTCCCCGAGGCCCTGCCCTGCTCATGCCACACCCCTTACCCTCCATCCCCACTCTCGCACACCAGGACGGAGCAGCGGGTCGCAGGCTCTGGTCTTGGGCCAAGGAGTGTGGCATGTGGGAGAGGAGATCCTGGCCGGGCTTGGGGCCGGGGGTTGGTGTGCAAGAGGGTGCAAGTTCTGGGAGGGAATCTGGGCGTGGGGGCGGGGGGGGCGCAGGGCCGGCAGGGATGATAAGGGTGCAGGAGGGGGGGTTCAGGGCCGGCACGGGTAAGTAGGGCGCGGGAGGGGCGGTTCAGAGCCGGCGCGGGCAAGCAGGGCGC